GCATGTGGTGCTGGGGGATTGAACCGCGGTCCCTGATGCTTTTGCTAAGCTTGTTCCAAGTAGGTGCTTTAGACCACTGAGCCATCTCTCCAGCCCCCACAGATGGCTTTTATCAGATTAAGATAAGGACTTTCTATTGTAATTTTCTGGAGGTTTTCCAGGGATGGTAGCAGCTTTGCTCCCCTGAAAGCAGTGTCAGCGTCAGCTGTTTTCTAAAGCTCTCGGAGGCCGGGCCTGCCCCGCTCAGCTCCTTCACTGGCTGCTCCCACAAAGCAGTCGGGCTCAGGTTGCTGGGGTTCACCCCACAACTGCAGCCAGCCAAGCCTGCTCTGCAGGCACTTGGAGGGGAAAAACTCCTTAAAATTCTTGTAGGATTTAGCAATGAATCCGACTGCACCTGGGCTTTTCTTTGTTGTTAGGTTGCTGTTTTTGACTGATACTGGATTGTTTAGAATTTTTGTATCTTCTTGATCAGCATTAGTAATTCATATGTATCTAGGAAGCTGTCCGTGTCTTCGGAATTTTCTGTCTTATTAGAATACATGCTGTCAAAGTAGTTCTTTGATTTTCTGAATTTCTACAGGATCTATTGTGATTTTACCCTTTTCATTCCTTATTGTGTTGATTTGAGTTATGTGTTTCTTTTTATTTTTTGAAAAGTTTCGCTAAGGGTTTATCAGTGTTATTTAATTTTTCTCTTTTTTTTTTGTGGTATCAGGGATTGAACTCAGGGCCTTGCTAATTTTTCAGAAGATCAATTTTTCAGTTCCTTGATTCATTCAGTCCTCCTGTCTCAGCCTCCCAAATACTGGGATTGCAGGCATGTGGCATCACGCTTGGCCTTGTATTGTTTTCTTAGTCTCAGTTGCATTAATTTATGCTTTGATCTTTAGGATTTCTTGTGACATGCAATCTTTGGTTTGACGTACTCTTCTTCTAGAATTCTGACATGTATGTGCACATATGTTTGAGGTTGCGTAGCAGCTTGTTAGGATTTTCAGGTGTTAGGCAACGGTTGGAGGAGATGTTTGATGGCTGTCCGGATCTTTTTTTTAATGTTGTCATCCATCTTTTTGTTGAAAAAATTCTGAAAGACACACAGTGCTCATTTTTGATTATATTAACTAAACCATTGTTTTATTTCAGTGAAGAAAACATTTGGAAGCTCTGTGAATACATCAAAAACCATGACCAGTATCCTTTAGAAGAGTGTTACGCTGTCTTCATATCAAATGAGAAGAAGATGGTAAGTTTGTTTTTATTGTTTTGCGGAACTGGGGCTTGAACTCGGGCCCTTGTGCTTGCCAGGCGAGAGCTTATCCTACTGAGCCATCTCCCCGGCCCCGAATGGTACGTTGATGAGCAATTGCTGAAAGGAACCAAGTTTAGGATTACCTTAGAAGCTAAATATGGCAGGGTGTAGTGCTGCTTCAACTGCCTTGTGGGTACTGCCGCACTGTAAAGCTAGTTTTTTTGTTTGTTTTGCTTTGTTTTTTGTTATTTGTCTTTTTGAGATGGGGCCTTAGCGTGTTAATATTATCCCTTAGTTACTGCAGAGTGATCATGATACAGGGAGAAAAACTGATCTTGGGTGGGTGACCTCCGAGTGACACAGGGAACCTCCAAGTGACAGTGGGAACCTCCAAGTGACAGAGGGAAAAATGATCTCTCGGGCGGGTGACCTCCAAGTGACAGAGGGAAAAGCGACCTCCCGACCTGACCTGCAAGAGCTCGTGTTCTGTAAAACCGAAGAATGAATTTTAGGAACAAACGGAAGTTATGAACAGAATATATTTATTGAGGGAAAGACAGCTCCTGTCCGAGAGCACAGGAGAGTGGACCCAGCAGGTTGTTGCTCCGGAAGCTGTTTCTTCCAGGGACTTTTATGATGTAAAATCATGTGGGGCTAAATTGGAGGAAGGGGGAACTTGCGTAGGTGGATGTGGGTGGGACACAACTATGGTCAGTCAATGGGATTACAAGCACCATTGCTCAGGGAAAATTGATTATGTCCAGGACCAAATGGGGAGGGAGTCACAAAGCAGGCGGGCGTGAATGTAAAACAGGTCTTTATCTGGTGACCATCAGATAAAGATTCTTCCTGGCTTTCTTAGGGTAATGATGCTAATCTTTAGGGAGGTCAGCATTTGCATGATCTTTGGTCTTTGGGTCTGGCTCACAGCGGGAGCATCCTTCCCTCCCACAGTTGTCAGGTATCTTGGCTTCTGTGTTATCTCCTTCGAGGGCCTGGCCCTGTCTGACTGCCTATAATATTTCTATCTAATTTGGCTGCCTGCAACAATCAGGCCCCCAGTCTCCCAGTCTCTGTCCTTAGCTATGACCTTGTCTTGTTTTGAGGCATCACAGCATCCCAGGCCACTACAAGCCCCAGCAAGGACCAGTGACTCGCAGAGGTTCACTTGCTAGGAGTCCCATCTCTAGACAAGGGGCCTAGGCCCGGAACACTCCAAAGTAACCCAGTTGGTTAATTTAAATCTTGCTCAGAGCTGCTGCATAGTGGTCTCCATCGGTTCTCACTATGTAGTTCAGGCTGGCCTTGAACTCATTATGCGGGCCAAGCGGGCCTCAAACTCATGGTGATCCTTCTGCCTCAGCCTCTTGAGTGTGGGGAGAACAGGTGTGTGCTGCCAGACCTGGCTCGTTGGTATTTGAATGAGGGTTTTTTTTCTCTTACAGGACACAATTGAGTTAGAAATATTTAGTACCTTATTTGTAGACTTAAAAGCAAGGGACTATATTTAAGAGACCAGAAAAAAAAAAAAAAAAAAAAGACTATGGAATAGTATGCTTGCCACGCATGTGCTTATTCTACTGAGCCATCTCCCCAGCTCCCTAGAATAGTGTATTTATAAAGATTAAGTCTCTTAGGTGTGAGAGAGCTTTTTTTCCTTTATATTGTACTGCAGCTTAAGCCCAGGGGTGTTGTTCCCCTGAGCTATGTCACTAGCCCTTTTGTATCTTTTATTTTGAGATGGGATCTCATTTCATAGGTCAGCCTGGAACTTGCAACCCTCCTGCCTCAGCCTCCTAACTAGCTGGAATTACAGGTTTGTGCCACCACGCCTGGTTTATGTTCTTATGAACTCTCATTGTTGAGAACTCTTCTACTGAGAAGGGTTTGGCTTTCTTCATGTTTATTCTTTCATCTTGTCAGCTGATCAGAAAGGTTTTGTTTCTCACTCGTGTGCTGCGCTGCAGTATCTAGGAGTGGTTACTGCAGCTGGTGGCGTGCACTGTGTTCACAGGTACCTATCTGGAAGCAGCAGGCCAGACCTGGAAATGGGCCCGTGATCTGGGTAAGACACCCCCTGTGTGGGAGCTCCCCCACACTGGAGATTGCCTCCAAGGCCTAGACCTCCAGCCAGCTTTTGTTTTTTATTTTGAGACAGGGGTCTCTCTTAATTGTGATTCAAACTTACAGTCTTCCAGCCTCACTCTCCTAAGTACTGGGCTTGCAGATGTTTGCCCTGCTTCTTTAAGTTTAATTTTGGTATTATTAGAGAAATGGCTTTAAATGGCCAGTGTGGGAGATTAATTGTGATCTTCAACACACTTCATTTATTTTATTTTATTTGTTTATTTTTTTAAATAAAATAAAATTTTATGCTACGTAGTTCAGGCTGGGCTGAACTCTCAGTGATCCTCCTGCCTCAGCCTCCAGGAGTGCTGGGATTGCAGGGGTGTACCACCACACCCAGTTTTCATTCATTT